AAGCGTCTGCCATTTACAGAACAATTCACACTTAAATTTGATCCTCCAAAATGCATCACCTCACACTTGTCTGAATTAATCTCCATCTGTCATTTCTGTGCCCAAGTTGCCAATCTATCTATATCCTGTTGTATCCTTTCACAATCGTCAGCACTATTAGCAACTCCACCAATCTTCATGTCATCTGCAAACTTTCTAAACAGAACACCCGCATTTTCCTCCAGATCATTTATATATACAACAAACAACAGAGGACCTAAGGCTGATCCCTGTGGAACACCACTAGTTACCAGTCTCCATCCTGAATAAACACTCTTCCAGTGCTACCCTCTATCTCCTATGACCAAGCCAGTTTTCTACCCATCTAGCCAGCCCACCCCGAATCCCACGTGATTTTAGTTTTTGTATCAATCTGCCATGTGAGACTTTATCAAATGCCTTACTAATGTCCATATAAACTACATCCACAGCCCTTCCTTCATTAATTATCTTTGTCACTTCTTCACAAAATTGCAATTATGTTGGTGAGACGTGACCTTCCCTGTACAAAACCATGCAACCTTTCACTGACTAGCCCATTTTCTCCAAATGCGCATATATCTTGTCCCTCAGTATCTTCTCCAAGAACTTCCCCACCACAGGCATCAGGCTCACCAGCCTATAATTTCCTGGATTATCCCTGCTTCGTTTCTTAAACAAGGGAACAACATTAGCTAATCTCCAATCCTCTGGAACCTCGCCCATGGTCAAAGAGGATGTGAAGATATCTGCTAATGCCCCAGCTATTTCTTCCCTTGCCTCTTCCAGCAACCTGGGATAGATCCAATCCGGCCCAGAGGAACTTGTCTACTTTAATGCAATTTAGGATACCCACAACTTCCTCCTTCAATATATTGACATTCTCTAGAGTATTCACACACTCATCCCTGACCTCAACATCAGTCATGTCCTTCTCCTTGGTGAATACCGATACAAAGTACTCATTAAGGATCTCTCCCTTGCTGAACCAAAGGGTCTGTTTCTGTGCTGTACAGCTCTATAGGGGTATGATTCTGTGTGGCTGCAGGATGACAGAATTGGGTGTTGAGAGATATATGACATTCAAGAAGCTGGGTAAAAGTTGAGGGATAGCACTATTAATCAAGGATGGTGTTGGAGCAATTCTTAGTTTTGAACTTAGTTCAGGAGGTTAACATATAGAATTGATTTGAGTGGAAATTAGAAATATTAAGGGTAATAAATCATTTGAGAGAATCGCCTACAAGCCTCCTAACAGTAACCACAAAATATGCAAGAAGAAATACAGATGGTGATCTAGAATTATTAATTTAGGCATAATGATACAGCAATGATCATTGGTGATTTGAATCTATATCCATGGTCTGAATCACACAGTCTCTCACAACTGATCTCACCGCCTGCCTGGGTTCCCTTGCTGTGTGATTCTCTGACAGTTAATCTGCATACTTGATCACATTCCCTTGGCATGACACATCGATCATTATGTCGTTGAATGATTTCTGCTTCTGGAAGCTATGCAGCTAGATGGACAATCATTGCAGGCTAAGCTACAATTTGCGCAGGCAATGCAAACAAATGAATAAGAAATATATTAGGAACTGATATGTGAAGTCAGTAAGCTACAGTGCGAGAAACATAGGAGGCCATCATTGTCTTGGCGAGAGCAGCTCAATGAGTCCCATTCCTTTGCCTGTTGTCTAGAACTGCAGGTTTCCTCTGCTGTTGTTTGTATAATAAATCCATGCAAAATGAAGAATAAATACTGGGAATGTTATTGTGTCCCATTTCCAATATCTGAGCTATGCAAGTCGACAGGGGCCTTAGGAGTAAACCACAACTGTGGAAGTGACCTCCGAGACTGCCACACTTGAAAACAGCGGCAACATTCTGGATATTCCAGGGACACAGATCCAGGGGTGGGTCTGCAGCGTGACCTGCAGCTGAACAACATCATGAACTACAATTTGAAGTAATAATGATGAGTGATGAACCTGAACCATCCAAAAAGAAACCAAACTTATACAACTTCCGCGTGGAATGGGAAAATTAATTCCTGAGTCTGCGTTTGGTCTCCCCAACATAGTGGAGACCACATCGGGAGCCACGGATACAGCAGATGAGGTTAGATGAAGTGCAGGTGAATCTCTGCCGGATCTGGAAGGATTGTTTGGGGCCTCGGACGGAGGTGAGGTGTAGGGGCAGGTGTAGCACCTCCTGCGGTTGTAGGGAAAGGTACCAGGTGTGGTGGAGGGGTTGGTTGGGAGTGTGGCGCTGACGAGGAAGTAGCAGAGTGAATGGTCCCTGCAGAAAGCGGACAGGGGTGGGGAGGGAAATATCTTTTTGGTGGTTGTATCCGTGGCTCCCGACGTGGTCTTCTCCATATCGGGGAGAACAAACGCAGACTCAGGGACCGGTTTGCAGATCATCTGTGCTCTGTACCCACCAACCAGCCCAAACTTCTGGTTGCCATCCACTTTAACTCCCACTCCCACGGTGACATGTCCATCCTTGGCCTCATCCACTGTCAGATTGAGGCCAAACGTAAACTGGAGGAACAACATCTCATACTTTGCTATGGGAGCTTACAGCCCAATGGCCTGAACATTGACTTCATCAGCTTCAAAATGTCTTGCTCCCCCAACCTGTCCATCTTCCTACTTACCTATCCGTTCCACCCTCCCCCCGACCAACTACAATAACCCCCTACCTGCATCCACCTATCTCCATCTTACCTACCCTCCCCTCAGCCCCACCTCCTGCCCTCTATTTATTTCTGGGCTCCCCTGTCCCGATGAAGGGTTTTGACCCAAAATGTTGACTTTCCTGCTCCTCGGATGCTGTCTGACCTGCTGTGCTTTTCCAGCTCCACATTTATCGAGCATAGGCATGGTGGCTAATGTTAAAGGTGACATAAAGCTAGGTAAGAAGATATGTTTTGATCAGGACTTAAGGAGGTTGCTGACTGATCTAGACAGGTTGAGTGTGTGTGGACAAAGCTCTGGCAGTTGGAGAATGTTGTGGGAAAATGTGAAATTGTTCATTTTGACAGGAAGGATAAAAAAAAGCAGAGTGTCACCTAAATGGAGAATGAGTACAGAATTCTGAGGTGCGGAGGGATCTAGGTGCATGAGTCATAAAAGTTAGTACGCTGGTACAGCAAGTAATAACAACTGGTAGAATGCTATTTTTTATTACAAGAGGAATTGAATGTAAAAGTAAAGATGTTATGCTTAAGATATATAGGAGATTGGTGAAACCATTTCTCAAAAACTGTACATTTTCAATACTTAAGGAAGGCTACATTGGTATTGATACAGAGGAGTCTACCAGCTGATACCAGATGACTGGTCTAGTTTCTGTCGTAATTTAGAGGAGTGAGGGGTGGCTTGATTGAAGTATACAGGAACTGAATGTTCTTGATAAGGTGAATGTGGAAATGATCTTTCCTCTTGTGGGTAAATCCACAATTAGGGGACACTGTTGTTCAATTAGATATCTTTTAGGACAGAGATGAGAAGTTTTTTTTTCATAGTGATCAGTGTGACATTGGAACGATGCCTCAGAAAGCAGTGGAAATGGGATCATTGAATATTTTTAAGGCAGAAGTAGATAGATTTTTGTTAGGCATGGGAATTAATGATTAATGATTATCAGAGTAGATGAGTTTGTGGAATTCAAAACACAAATACATCAGCCTTGATCCTATTCAAATGGCAAAGGAGGCTCATGAAACTGGACTACTATACTATGTTCCACACACCAGTTCTTTCTGAAAGTTTTATTCGATTTCTTAGTGGCTGGTATATTTATAAGCTGTAAATAGAATGAAATATCTAGACCTCAAAATTATTTTAAACTTGACTATAACAGGAGGACAATTAGACACAGCATCAAACTAGATGAGTCTAGTTGGCTACATCTTTGGGTAGAGTGTGTTGGCAAACACCCCAAAATCATTTGAGCAATGATTGGATGCTGAGGGGCAACTGTATGAGCTAAATGTTGTTTAAACTTGCATTTACCTACTCATTCTTTGAATTATGGCCATGGCAATAGCCTAGGGTGGAGGGAGCAGTCACAATTATATTTATGCCTTTTTTCATAACATGCATTAATTTACATATTAACCCAAGTAAATGAAAACATGTAAACATATCGACCATGGTTGAGAAAAATCCTTACTGGAGGCAAAATATATATTGGAAGCATTGTCGCGCAAAATGAGATCATCAGAACGGAGACAGAAAATTGAATAGAATCCTTACAGGGAACAGGCACAAAGTAGAGTGTCCAAGAAGTGACTACATTTCTTGCAATTCTGCTGTTTGTCCTTCCCTACTAGAACCACTCCCTTCCACCCCACAGCCTCCTTCACTCAATAGGTCAATCTTTGTCATTTCCATTAACTCCAGCACAATGGAACCACCAAACACAGAATCACAGAAATGTTGTCTATTCAGTCCATTGTGTCTGCAAACGAGTATCATTACCTACTTCATGATTCCTTTTTCCTCATACCTTTGCACTCATTTCTGTCCAATACTCTGTAGAATTCCTCAACAGAACCTGCCTCCACACTCTCCCTTTCCCCTCTTGTCCCCTTTCAACATTACAAGGGAATTATTCTGATGAACGGTCCCAGAGCTACTTTAACACGAAGTTTATTTCTCTCTCCCTGAACCATTGCTGAGCTGCTCCCTTCTCTCCAACCCAAGTGAACTCCACCTACCCAACCCTTGATGTAGCATCCACGGAGACTATACCACACTTTTGGAAGGGGTGGCAGTCAAAGGAAACATATTTAAAGATGGATTAAATAATCAGGAGAGTGACATAACAACTTCATACAATTTTTAGATTTCATAACCTCAACGGAGATTTCGAACAAACCCTGACACAAGGGTCGTCTTTCATGGATTGAAATGGACGTCGAGAAAATTACACCCCTGTTTTCAAGTGGAACATGCCGGGCCTGAAGGTGTAACCCAGGGAGACAGAAAGAAACAAGTTGGGTGAAACAAAAAAAAACAAAAAGTTTAGTGAAACAAAGGGTGGGGAGCCAAAATTTTCGCGAACCGTTCTTTAATTACTTCACGCAGAGCTGAAGTAGGTTAGAAGCCTTTAAATTGGAAATTGCAAACTTTTAGTAACTTTTTTAAAATGTTTTGTTTCTTCCCTTTCTCTTTCCTCACTGTTTCTCAGGCATGCCCGCTAGCAGCAAGGGCCTGGAGCCGCGGAGTTTTGTGATGATAAAACCTTTGCCCTTGCCTCCGTCCAAAGGCTTGAAGGTGAAAGCCCGGAGCCTGACCGTCTACAGCCCCAGCGAGCCGAGCAGGCAGCAGGTTTTCCACGAGAATTACCGCAGGAGGCAGGATCAGCTGAGCCGGCAGGGTTACCGCTCGGTCTCCTGGAAACCCTACCAGGCAATCGGCCAGCCCCTTTACCTGGAGCCGAGGCAACTCGTCCTGCATTCATTGGGGCAGCTCGACCAGGTTAGCCAGGCACCGCAGAGTCCTTGCCCACCACACACTCCATTCATGTACTTGTGGAGCTACGTACTGTCTCAAACCCTCCCAAAATCAACTTGGGTAATATTTGGCAATCCTATGCACAGAATACCACCCCAACTCCTCCCAACCTTGATATCAATGCCCATTCGTTCTGGGCAGATTTTCTAGGGATTTCACTGTGGCAGAACATTTCAGTAACAATATAACACAAAAGTAAAACAAAGAAATACTGGAAACCTGAAGCAGAAACAGAAATTGCTGGAGCAACTCAGCAGGTGTGGGTGGCAGTATCTTAGAGTCACAGAGTTGTAGAGCACAGAAACAGACCCTCCTTCAGTCCAACTCGTATATGCCAACCAGGTATCCTAAATTAATACAGTTCCATTTGCCAGCATTTGGCCTGTGTGCCTCTAAACACTTCCTATTCATATACGCATCCTGATTCCTTATAAATGTTGTAATTGTACCAGCCTCCACAACCTCCTCTGGCAGCTCATTCCACACTCTACGTGAAAAGGTTGCCCCTTAGGTCCCTTTTAAATCTTTCCTCTGTGAAGAGAAAGGGTCACTGGCTTCCAAACGTTAATGCTGCTTTCTCTCCACAGATGCTGCCAGACCTGCTGAGTTGCTCCAGCAATTTCTGTTTTTGAGTTAACAGTAATGGTCACTTGGAAATATCAGTCATTTGAATTGCAATCAGGTATAACAACTTTGCAGTTAACGTAAATAAAGGGTGCTTTGTTCTTTCAATGTCACCTTGCCCTTAAATAAATGAATGCCTTCCATCTTGAACAATACAGTTGCATCTTCAGAATGATTTCGCTATGTGGTCGTTGGAAGAGGGGAGCAAGGGTGCAGGGTAAAAGATTTAAGATGACCTCTCGTGTGAATGATGAATGCCAGCACAGAGTGATTGGGCTCAGAAGCTGGTTTCTTTGTTCACCATCAGTGTTATCTATTGTCTGCGTGTGTGCCTTTGAGTTTGTACTGTTTCAGTCTCAGCCTCTTAACGTACTTGTGTTTGCAAGTGGAAGCCACAGCTGCTGAGTAGTCCTGAACGTTTTGAGCTGTTCCAAGAGACTCTGGTGGAATAAACAATGTTTTACTGCAAGTTGTGTGCAGACTGTATAATGTTTATACAGCAGTAAATATTATAGAATCATACAACACAGAAGGAGGCCATTTGGCCCCTAGTGCCTGTGCCAGCTCTTTGATAGAGCTATCCAGTTTATGCCCACTCTTTGCAAATAGCCCTGCAAAGTTTCCATTTGAAGTAATTATCCAACTCCCTCTTGAAAGTTACTTTCAAATTGCTTCCATTAAGCTTTTAGGCAATGCCTTCCAATTCATAGCAACCAGCTATGTTTAAAGATAAAATCCCTACCTTCTCTTCACCCAGTTCCTTTGCCTTAATTTGTATCCTCTGGTTACCGTTCCACCATCATTGCAAACAGTTTCTCCTTGTGTCCCTTGTTGCTTACTCTATCAAACCCTTCATGACATTAAACACTGGTGAATCTCTGCTTGACTTGCTTTGCTTGAAGGAGTAGAGTCCCAGCTTCTCAGTATTCACTTTCTTAGTCACTGCCACAGTCTTTAAGCATTAAAGTTAACCCAGGACAGTAAGAGAAAAGCTTTTGTACATTCTTGAACAGTTGGACAAAGTGTTCTTCTAACATTTGAGACTTCGCTCTCTTTCTCCTTTGTCTAGATCGTGAATGAAGAGCCTGACAGTGCTGCAGAGGAGAATGCAGAAGAAGCAAAATGTACCAGCCCGCCAAAGATGTCAAAGGAAAACAAGGTAACCAAAATGTAAAATTGTGAGATTTTAAAAAGGTGATGGACCTGGCTACATGGAATTTTTGGCTTCAAAATCAGGGTACAACTGAACTCGGTAATAAATGTTCATTTATTTTTGTTCCGTTATTTGTTTGCCCCTGCTTCCTCCCTGAAGAGACAGATTTCTGGTGGAGTATGGTTTTACAATCACTTGGTTTTTCATCCGATTAATGATTTTTCTCAAGTTGAGTTCAGACATTAAGGCCCTGAAATATCCAAAGTTCTGTTGTAATGTTCCAGCTGTAATGAAGCAGGATTGTAATGAGAAGGAGAGGGAGACCTTAACCTCACAGGAGTTTTCATGATCAGGCTGTTAGAATAAATCAGGCTCATGACATTAGTAGAATTGGTGCACTTTTAAGTTCCTTCAGTGCAGTAGGGAGGGAGGAAAATGTGGCACTGGAAATCCTTGAGCAGGGCAACATCAATCTAGAATTAGAATTAGCTTTATTGTCACATGTACATAAAAACAGTGAAAAGTGTAGAAGTCACCACTTTTGGCGCCATCTTAGGTACAAAGATACAGATTCTTGAGTACAAATTCTCAGGGGAAAAAATTAGAAAAATAAACAAATAAAAAGTCCAGCATTACAGATCATAGGATCATACAAATTCTTAGGGGAAAGAAATTAGAAAAACAAAGAAATAAAATGTTCGGAATAACAGTCCTGCCAACTCAGTCCAAGCTGGCACCTAGCCTTTAGGCCATGTTGGACCTTAACTCCAGACTGTGCTGGGCTTCACCCCAAGGCTGTAGAGGCTGGGAGACTGCTTTGGAATCATCTTGAGGCAGGAAGTCCGTGTTAAGGGTGGGCCAGTTCGAGAAACCAACACTCTGGGCTGCTGAGAAACCGCCACGCTGGGCTGCTGAGAAACCGCCACTCTGGGCTGCTGAGAAACCACCATGCTGGGCCGAGAGGACACCAGGATGGGCTGGGTGACAGCATGCCAGGCTGAGAGATTGACATGCCAGGCCCTCGTTGAGGCAGGGACTTCAGGACACCGCCAAAAAGAAAGAAGGAAAAAATACAGAAACAGACGGAGCGGATGATCTAGCTGAGGAGCCCTACACTGCCACCATCTTGGTATTAGTTGGTATCAATCTAGGTAACCAGGCCTTTATGCTGCCCTGAAATAACCCAAGTGGGCTTTGTCACACTAGTATAATGCAGTCTGTTATCTTATTACTTTCTACAGATTGAGGCAGATGAGGAGTGGGAGTAGTAGGTCATCAAGAAGATGTTGTCAGTCATGAGTCTTCAGAATTTGACAGAACATCCTCTCATCATTACAAGGTCTTCCATATGGAGACAAGATTCTGCCTCATTTTCAACCCCCACTAGGCTTCTACTAATCAGACAAAGTTTCCTCTTTTGTTTTTTTGGTTATTATGGCATTAGCCCCGATGAGCAGTTTTTTTGTGTTTCATAGTTTGGCTGTTTGATTTATTTGAGCGAAAAGGGGCCAGGTTCTTCCCCAGCATGGCAATAGCTTCTGGACAGGGTAAGGGACTTAAAGGGAAATGTAGGCACTGGTGCTTGTGCTAAACAACACATTAACAATGACATCCTTGTAAATCTCTGATAGTATTTTGCTGCCTAACTCAACAGATGAATTTTGGTCTGTTAAACAGTGCATGCCTAATGCATGTGAGTCTGATGCTTCCTTTGTCCCTCACTTGCACCTTCCAGCAGTAGGTACTGGATAGCGACCAGGAAAGAGATTTGAATTTCCTTTGCTTTCTGTGCTCAGGACTGCTGGGGTCAATTGCAGCAGTCCATTTATTGTTCTGGATAAGGGGTAACTCAGCAGAGATAAAGAATTTCGACATTCCTTTTCTGGCTTGGCGCCAACTTAGAAATACACTTGCATGCTTTTTGATACCTTTGCAAATCTTGTTTCATAAATGTTAACAAATGGCAGTGTAGCAACATCCTGACATCATGACGTTTCGCTTTTTGATGTTGATGAACATATTCAAGCTGGTCACAGGTGTGAGAGAGTCCAACCAGTTTGCCCTCGCAACCAACTGAGTTATTAGCATAGAATCATCAGCATAAGGGAGCTCTCTAATAAGGACTTGGTACACCATAACTTTGTCTCGGACCTCAGACAAACATAGCTGAACAGCTACAAAAACAAAGAGACAACAAGGTGCAGGGCTGGATGAACACAGCAGGCCAAGCAGCATCATAGGAGCAGAAAGGCTGACGTTTCGGGCCTGGACCCTTCATCAGAAAAGGTTCTGAAATAAATAGGGAGAGAGGGGGAGGCGGATAGAAGATGGATAGAGGAGAGGATAGGTGGAGAGGAACCAAACAGGTCGAAGAGGCGGGGATGGGGCCAGTAAAGGTGAGTGTAGGTGGGGAGTTAGGGAGGGGATAGGTCAGTCCAGGGAGGACGGACAGGTCAAGGGGGCAGGATGAGGTTAGTCGGTAGGAGATGGGGATGCGGCTTGAGGTGGGAGGAGGGGATAGGTGGGTTTTTTTTTTTTTTAGGGAGGGGAGGACGAGCTGGACTGGTTTTGGGATGCGGTAGGGGGAGGGGAGATTTTGAAGCTTGTGAAATCCACATTGATACCATTGGGCTGCAGGGTTCCCAAGCGGAATATGAGTTGCTGTTTCTGCAACCTTCGGGTGGCATCGTTGTGGCACTGCAGGAGGCCCAGGATGGACATGTCGTCTGAGGAATGGGAGGGGGAGTTGAAATGGTTCGCGACTGGGAGGTGCAGTTGTTTATTGCGAACCGAGCGTAGGTGTTCTGCAAAGTGGTCCCCAAGCCTCCGCTTGGTTTCCCCGATGTAGAGGAGGCCACAACGGGCACAGCGGATGCAGTATACCACATTGGCAGATGTGCAGGTGAACATCTGCTTGATGTGGAAAGTCTTCTTGGGGCCTGGGATGGGGGTGAGGGAGGAGGTGTGGGGGCAGGTGTCGCACCTCCTGCGATTGCAGGGAAAGGTGCCGGGTGTGGTGGAGCTGGAGGGGAGTGTGGAGCGGACAAGGGAGTCACAGAGAGAGTGGTCCTCCGGAAAGCAGATAAGGGTGGGGAGGGAAAGATGTCTTTGGTGGTGGGGTCGGATTGCAGATGGCAGAAGTGTCGGAGGATGATGCGTTGGATCCGGAGGTTGGTGGGGTGGTACGTGAGGACGAGGGGGATTCTTTTTTGGTTCTTATTGCGTGGACGGGGTGTGAGGGATGAGTTGCGGGAGATGTGGGAGACACGGTTGAGGGCATTCTCGACCACTTGAAAAACGAGGACAACTGAGATGTACGGGAGTGGAATGCCTCATCCTGGGAGCAGATGCGGCGGAGGCGAAGGAATTGTGAATAGGGGATAGCATTTTTGCAGGAAGGTGGGTGGGAGGAGGAGTATTCTAGGTAGCTGTGGGAGTCGGTGGGCTTGAAATGAATATTGGTTTCTAGGTGGTTGCCCGATATGGAGACAGAGAGGTCCAGGAAGGGGAGAGAGGTGTTAGAGATGGTCCAGGTAAACTTAAGGTTGGGGTGGAAGGTGTTAGTGAAGTGGATGAACTGTTCGAGCTCCTCGTGGGAGCACGAGGCGGCGCCGATACAGTCATCAATGTAACGGAGGAAGAGGTGGGGTTTAGGGCCGGTGTAGGTACGGAAGAGGGATTGTTCCACGTAACCTACAAAGAGGCAGGCGTAGCTTGGGCCCATGCGGGTACCCATGGCCACCCCCTTTGTCTGTAGGAAGTGGGAGGAATTGAAAGAGAAGTTGTTGAGGGTGAGGACGAGTTCGGCTAAGCGGATGAGGGTGTCAGTGGAGGGGGACTGGTCGGGCCTGCGGGACAGGAAGAAGCAGAGGGCCTTTAGGCATCTTCCTCCCACCTATCCCCTCCTCCCACCTCAAGCCGCACCCCCATCTCCTACCGACTAACCTCATCCCGCCCCCTTGACCTGTCCGTCCTCCCTGGACTGACCTATCCCCTCCCTAACTCCCCACCTACACTCACCTTTACTGGCCCCATCCCCGCCTCTTCGACCTGTTTGTTTCCTCTCCACCTATCCTCTCCTCTATCCATCTTCTATCCGCCTCCCACTCTCTCCCTATTTATTTCACAACCCCCTTCCCCTCCCCCTTTTCTGATGAAGGGTCTAGGCCCGAAACGTCAGCCTTTCTGCTCCTATGATGCTGCTTGGCCTGCTGTGTTCATCCAGCCCTGCACCTTGTTGTCTCGGATTCTCCAGCATCTGCAGTTCCTACTATCTCAGCTACAAAAACAAGTTGCTGGAAAAGCTCAACAGGTCTGGCAGCATGTGTGAAGAAGAAAATTAGTGTTAATGTTTCGGGTCCGGTGACCCTACCTCAGAACGGTTCTGAGGAAGGGTCACCGGATCCGAAACATTAACTCCAATTTTTTTCTTCACAGATGCTGCCAGACCTGCTGAGCTTTTCTAGCAACTTCTGTTTTTGCTCCCGATTTACAGCATCCGCAGTTCTTTCGGTTTTTATATAGCTGAACAACTTTCTGTCAATTCTGATAGTTAAATAGACACTTTGCAGAAATATGCTGGAGGCATATGGCAGCAAGGAGAAAAGAATATGTCAAATAGTGTCAATGCTAGAATACAAACCTAATTGTTAACCCAGTGCAGAAATCCAAGGATTCTGATGTTACCCTAACACACATGACCTTATTCTTTATGTTAAGATGGAGAGAAGAGCTTGCATTGAGTGGTTTCAGTAGGAAGCCAGTTTCCTCCAGCTGCTTAAATAGACTGCCCCAGCTCACATGCTTGAATGCCTTGGTGTGATTGATGAAAGCAGTATGTAAGGGCATCTTACAGCTGCCCTATTGTTGATTGTCAGGAAAAAATGTCTGTTTACTTACTGTGCTTCAGGGAAGGACATTGCTCATCCTAACTTGGTCTGGGCTATGTTTGACTCCAGACCAACAGCAATGTGGTTGAGTCTCAACTGCCCTCTGAAATGGCCTAG